CCACCAAATCAATGTGGGACAAGCCAATTTACAACCTTAAGGAATTTCCACCAAAACTCCATTTCCATGGAGCACACTTTGGCTTCAATTTCTCATTCACTCGGTAATGGTTTTGAGTAACCAAATATACCACATGAATCATAACGCGGCATAGAACGCGTTACCACTTTGACCCGAGTAAATCGACACTCGGGGCCCACCTAAAAAATAGACCAAACTTGAGGAAAAATTAACCATTTCCAACAGAAAATTCATTTACTAACATTCTTTTCTCAATGCAAAAGTTTTCAAACTCAATTCAAAATATGTAATAACCAATTGAATGAATATGCAATGTATAACAATTACCAATGCTATATAACATATTTCTTCACTTTCAAATATCTCAAACAATAATTCCATAAGAATGAAAATTTCCATTTTTCCTTTCAATGCTATTTCACAAAATAGCCACATATTCATTTAATTCTATCAATAAATAGCAACATTTCTTTATTTCGTACATTCCTCAACAATTTAGTCATCACAAGACTATATCAACATTTGAACAACAACCCCCGATATCAAAAATCATCATATTTCATGAAAATCATCATTATATATATATATATATATAAAATAATAAGTATTCTCATTCTATACTCATTTTGGCCCAGAAGATAATATATTTACAATACCAACCACATGTTCTCTTCATCTTTTAAAAAAAAAAAAAAAACCCAAATTGGTAGGTCTTTCTTACCACAACAACACGCACACCCACATCATTTGAAAAGATATTTTTAAAATAACTTTCCTCAATCAATGTAGTTCATAACTCTCAAGAAATGATTTCACAAGAAACAAGAAGCCATTCCACTCCCAAAACTACCCACATTGTTGAACCAACCATCATGTTCTAATATTAACAAGAGAAATTTCGAAAATCTACAAGATCTTGCAAATATATATATATATATATAACTCTAAGAAAATCCTTACCTCAAGTTTGGAGAAGAAAAAGAGATGAAACCCTTAAAATCGACGGTGTTGAAACACGATTTTCATCGCACACAACGAAACCCTCAATTAGCTCTCCAACTTTGATGAAGAAGCTTGGGTTAAAAATGCAATGGATCTAAAGAGATCAGGAGTTTTAAGCGGTTTGGTGTAGGAAATGTAGAGAGAATGAAGAAGAAATTATTTTTAAAGAGAGAGAGATGTGTAAAAAGTGATACACACACTGCCCAAAAAGAGAGAAAAGCTGAATTTTTTCAGACTCAGCGTTTCCCGCACATGTGCCACTCATCCCCGCACGTGCGGCGCTTCCCCTGCACCTCCTTCTGCACCTTCTCCTTCACGTGCCTTTTATGTAGTAGGCAACCCAAGACTCCCATGCTTTCTGCACGTGTGGCCCCTCTCCCACCCCGCACGTGGGGCCAAGTCCCCTGCACGTGCGGCTCAGCCCTCAGCCCAGAAAAATTCTCAACTCAACTCTTGACACTCCGGGCCCAACCTCACACCCTCCGGAACAAGTGAAAATCAACACCGGAATAAACAAAAACAAGAATTTTTGAGAAAAACTTCCGAACACCACAAACCCAAACGATTAACAAGGCTCCAAGTCAAACCCGACACTCTAATAAGGCAAACCCAAAATTAAACGAAGAAAAACGAGGCGAATAATACACCCGGCCATCACACGCAATGCCTTGAATTGTTCAGCCGTTTGTGTAAGCCAAGACAATAGATTTCACACAAAATATCTTCTGACACATCATGATTCTCACGGTTGTGTTCATTTTGGCCTTGAACGCTCTTGGTTGTTCATGAGTGCTTCTAGAAAATTTAGCCTCTTCATTCTTATAGAACCGGCCCCAGTTCGACACTCATATAGGTGATTCTTATTGTGAGTATCTCTTATACTCGTCTTGATTTTTATGCCTAAATCAAGATATAAGTAATTATTAAAAGGAAAGCTTATCCTTAAACCCCTGCATACAACACATGTTGCAGATATCACTCTCACCATAGGAATAAGTGGGGAATTTTAATCCCTTGGTGATTTCTGACAAGCCACACATAATTTAGTTGTCCCTTTGAACTTAGTTCTTGGGATCTCTAGTCATTTAAGTAGGGTTACCATTATGATGACTCTTATGTAATAGGCTTTAATTCCATTCCCTTCAATGAACTATACACTTGCTCTTTTGTCAAACCTTTTGTTAACGAATCTGCAATATTCTTTTTAGATTTTATATAATCTATTGAGATTATTCCATTTAAAAGCAATTGCCTTTCGGTATTATGTCGACGACGAATATGTCGTGACTTACCATTGTATATATGACTCTGTGCCTATTGCAGATTAATTATCACAATGAATGCAAATAACTGGCATAGGTTTTGGCCACATTGGAATGTCTTCTAAGAAATGGCGAAGCCATTCTGTTTTTTCTCCTGCTTTGTTTAAAACAATGAACTCAAATTCCATTGTGGATCGTGTGATGCATGTTTGTTTCGTGGATTTTCAAGAAACAGCAGCGCCACCCAGAGTAAAGACATATCTACTAGTGGATTTTGAATCTTTGGTATCTGATATCCAATTGGCATCACAATAGTCTTCCAGTATTGCAGGATATTGAGTAAAGTTCAAACTATGAACACAGGTAAATCTTAGATATCTAAGAACTCGAATGATCGTTTTCCAATGGTCTTCTCCAGAGTTACTAGTGTACTTGACAGCATAAGTTATATCAGGACGAGTACAATTCATTAGATACATTAGTGTTTCAATGATTTGGGAGCATTTTAGCTGAGACACCGCATCACCTTTATTTTTTGATAAATAAAGACTGATGTCTATAGGTGTTCTTGTTACATTCATATCATCCTTAATAAATTTACCAAGAATTTTCTCAATATAATGAGATTGAGATAATGCATATCCATCAGATGTTTTAGTAATTTTCATTCCTAATATTACATTTGCGACTCTCATATCTTTCATATCAAATCTTTTTTCAGCATTTGCTTAGTTAATTTGATCATGTTTTAACTGCTTCCAATGATAAACATGTCATCTACATAAAGATAAACGATGACATAACCTTTGTCAGTGTTTTTAACATAGACGCACTTGTCATATTCGTTTATCTTAAACCCATGAGTAAGCATAGCATGATCAAATTCCTCATGCCATTGCTTAGGAGTTTGTTTTAATCCATAAAGAGATTTTACACGCCGACAAACTTTCTTTTCTTGCCCTAGCACTACAACCCCTTCAGGTTGCTTCATATAGATCTGTTTATTTAGATCACCATTTAAGAAAGCTGTCTTAACATCCATTTGATGTATTTCTAAATTATACAACGCTGCTATAGTAATAAGCATGTGGATGGATGTTATTCTTGTCTCAAGGGAATATGTGTCAAAATAGTCTAGACCTTCCTTTTGTCTGTAACCTTTTACCACAAGTCTTGCTTTTATACTTGTCTATTGAACTATCTACTTTCATTTTTTCTCTTGAATATCCATTTATATCCAAGAGGTTTAGAATTAGGTAGAAGATCCACCAATTCCCAAGTAAAATTTTGCATAATGGATTCAATTTCATTATTGACAGCCTCTTTCCACAAAGGTGCTTCAGGACTTATCATTATTTCCTTAAAGCTTTGAGGTTCATTTTCTAACAGGTATATCAGAAAATCTGGACCAAAGGATTTTGATGTTCTTGTTCTCTTACTTCGTCTTGGTTCATCATCAGTTAAATCCTGTTGGTCGAGACCATTACTAGTTTCTTGTGTTTGATTGTCATTAATCTCTTGACTTTGTGTATAATCATAAGTTCTTTTATGTGAACTTAATTCCTGTCTTTTCTTGTAAGGAAAAACATGTTCAAAAAACACAGCATTCCTTGACTCTATAATAATGTTCACATTTATATCAGGTATTTCTAATTTATAAGTCAGAAACCGATATGCATTACTATTCTGAGCATAACCAATAAACACACAATCCACTGTTTTTGGTCCTATCTTAGTCTTTTTTAGAATAAGAACTTCGACTTTTGCCAAACACCCCCACACTTTTAAGTATTTGTAGGAAGGTGGTCGACCTTTCCACAATTCATAAGGCGTGTTGTTGGTTTTCTTGTGGAGTATTCTGTTAAGAACATAATTAACAAACAATATTGCTTCCCCCCACAAGTTCTGCGGTAGGCTTGAACTTAGTAACATGACATTAATCATTTCTTTAAGAGTTCTATTTTTCCTTTCAGCAATTCCATTTTGCTATAGAGAATAGGGTGCTGTAGTTTGATGAATAATGCCATGTTGTGCACAAAATTCATTTAAAGGTGCATCATATTCACTACCCCTATCACTTCTAACCATTTTAATGGTTTCACCAAGTTGATTTTCAACTTCATTTTTGTAGAGTTGAAACATTTCTAAGGCTTCATCTTTACTTCTAAGTAAATATACATAACAATATCTTGTGCAATCATCAATAAATGTTATGAAATACTTTTTGCCTCCGCTAGTTTGAACAAATTTAAGATCACATACATTAGTATGAATTAATTCTATAGGTTCAATTTTTCTTTCAACTGAGTTAAATGGAGCCTTAGTTAATTTTGCTTCTATACAAATCTCACATTTGTGATTAGAATCA